CACTGGGGATTTGAACTAGCAACCATCAACACCGTAGACCTGTGCATTTCCATCTGAGCCACTGGACCACTAGCTCTAATACTGCTGCTTATTGTCTTTTGTACAGGCTGCTTTCAACTGTATTTGTTTTACACGCCATTTATTCCCCACATACCGTTTTAAACGCCATTTATTGCCCACATGCCGTATTAAACGCCATTTATTGTCCACATTCCGTTTTAAACGCCATTTATTGTCCACATGCCGTTTTAAACGCCACTTGTTGTCCACATGCCGTTTTAAACGCCATTTATTCCCCACATGTCGTTTTAAACGCCATTTATTCCCCACATGCCGTTTTAAACGCCACTTGTTGTCCACATGCCGTTTTAAACGCCATTTGTTGTGTACATGCCACTGATCAGCTGTGGCAGGTGCCGGTGCCACAAAAGGAGCCTGCCCTTTCTCCAATGCAGAGGGGAGTGTTTTTTTGTTTGTTTTTTAATGCACTCGTTAAATGAATGGTGCTCGTCCTGGCTGACCCATTTCTAGGGCTGTCAAAATTATCGCGTTAACGCACGTTAATTCATTTTTTTAATGAATCGCGGAAAAAAAAAAAATGTATGTATATTGTTGCATGTACGGAAGGACCCGCCCATGCATCCCATAATAATACTCAGAATGCCGCAGATACGAACATGTGTGAGATGGCGACAGAGCAGGTAGGCCCTCTGGGAATTCAAGTTTAAAAAGAAAACATGCGTGACCGCAGGGCACTTGCTCTTGTTTGCTATGAACTCAAACAGGAGTCTGCATCCTCGGTGGCCGCAGCGTTCTGACCCGGGGCAGCTGCGGCGGCTCTGGACAGAAGTTCACACCTCCAGCGGCTGTCGCTTTGAAAACAATACGGCGAACGGTGCCGCCGTAACATCACGTGCACAGGACTATTCTCTGCTTGTTGTGTGCGTGTCTTTGTGTAAATTGTGCGTAACCTGTTCATGATGCAATAAGTACACCTCTGAAGGTGGAGCCTGGTCTCCTCTGTGTCTTCTCCCGAAGCGCACTCGCTAAATTAAAGCTGGGGTACCTAATTTTTCCCTTTCACTAACAGTTCATGTTGGTTGTGCCCAAAAGTAAAATGTTGTGAGCAAATCAAACAGATCTAATGACATTCAGCATCACAATAGTTTTGGTCTGAGTCACTTCAGAAAAGACAGAATGTTAATCATGTTATATATCATTTTATATGAATTTATTGTTGTTATAAAAAACAAATACACTACATATGTACACTATGTTGTCATTTATCTTTCAATTCAAACAACAACAATTTTGCCGATAGTTACAAATGCAATTAATTGATTAATTTTTAAGCATTAATTAACTCGATTAGAAATTTTAATCGTTCGACAGCCCTAGTTTTTTCACATTTTCCAGCCCCCGTGGCCATTTTGAAACTGCCCATAGACGCTGAAAGTGGTGGCACATTAGTTTCAACAGCAGAGATAGGTGTGACTACATTTACAGTCTTTGGTTGAAAGCAGAGCTGAAGTCCACGAACAGGACCCTGGCGTAGGATCCTGGGGAGTCCAGGTGCTGCAGAATAAAGTGGAGGGCCAGGTTTATGGCGTAGTCAACGCATCTGTTGGCTCTGTAGGCGAACTGTAGAGGGTCCAGGAGGGAGAAGGGGAAGGACTTGAGATGGGTAAGGACCAGGGGCTCAAATGACTTAATGACTACAGATGTCAGTGCCACAGGTCTGTAGACATTAAGTTAATGTGATCGGGGGCTTCTTGGGGACGGGGACAATGAGCGACATTTTGCAAAATGTGTTCAAGCAATTGGCAAAACTGTAAGACAAATGTAGACTAATTACCCATGATGGATCCAAGCATTTTCTATGGATTCTTTGTTTGGCTTGGCATGTTTTTTTATGTGTAGTGGTTATTTTGGATGCTACAGCTCCTCTTTGTTAGTATCACTTTTATTGACAGTTCCCCAACATTATAACATGAGGCAACTCGTTCTAGTGAAGGTTGAGCTGGTTTCCCAAAGACCATGCAACCTTGATTGTGAATTAAATAAGTAAAATACGTAATATGTTTCTTCCGGGTGCTCCGGTTTCCCCCACCACTAAAAACTTGCACAAAAGGTATGAATGTAATGAGTGAATGGATAGTGTTGATTGGAGGTTTTGATGGGCCAGTGTGTTCGGCGTCTCGCTTTCGTCATCACCAGGTGTGGAGTGATTGCAACAATATCTGAACTCTGAACATTGTAAAATGTGCTACATAATTAAACATTACTTACTTACTTGCTCTGTCCAGTTGGGTTTCTCTTTCTTTTATTCTCCACTGCTGTTCACTTATTTGTGGTATCTTTGAAAGTCAACCAACACGGCTTCAAATAGACAGGTCAGCAATCACGGCTGTGCCATTTTACCTTCGTTAAACCAAAGAGAGTAGAAATGTTAAAAGTTGAAAGACAAAAAATGACGGGCATGGCAATTAATATAAGCAAATAAATATATCTATCACTGTGTTAATACTGTGCAAGTGGGCCTTTGTTTTCACACATTCTGTACGATGATTTAAAAGTATTTTATGCGGAATATTATTTACAATGACACAGTCTTCCTAAGGCTAGATTCCATGATTAAGTATGTCCATTTGAGGGTCCTTATTTTGACCGTTATAACCAAAAGTATCTTTTCGCTAACTTTTAGGATCAACCAATCACAGCGTCTGAAAGGATGACTCACAACAATACAGTCTATGCTCATAACTAGTAACGGGGTCGCCCACGCCTCTTCACTAAGACAGGAGTTTTTGTTGCTCAGAGTTCTCTGAGAATGTTAAGGAATAACTTTTAAGCTAAGACTCCTAGCTAGGAGTTTTTAGCTCTGTTTAGTTAGGAGCTTGAGTTTTAACGTTGACGTGAATCACTTCTGTAAACAACATATAAAGTCAACCTACTGTACCTATGACCGTTATTCTGGCACATGGTTATGCTCACAACAGTTTAAAACTAGTTTTCTATGTGAAATCAGTTTGTAAACAAACTGCCAAGTAAATTAACCAAACTGTGTATATATGATAATATACACTGCAAACTTTAAGTTTGTGTAAGCTCTCAGTCGTACAGTCCTTTGCATACACTGCAAACGTTACAAAGAAACATAAATGAAACAATCTTGAGTATATTCACTGGATTTATTGGGAAACAACAAGGTCACGTCCATGCCTGCCACTTTCATCCACAAGCTGGTGTCTGGACCCTAGTCTGGACCGTTATAGATTTGACATTATAATATTCAATGATCTGATAAGACCACAATGCAAAAAATTATAAAATGAGAAAATAATCGCTTGATTTAAGCGACTTGAAACAAGATTTGACAATAGGCCTAATAGTCTTATTTCACAAAGAAAAAAACAAGAAAATGTTGCTTGTCCTTTTAGCAAGTCTTGTTTTAAGGCAGTCAAAATGTGCCCACATTTAGATACATTTTATTATCTTATTTTTCATCACTTTTTGCAGTATGTTATCGTTTCAAAAATGTTGCAAATCGGCTTTCACAAAAAGGGTTGAATGCAGATATGACTGAGGACTGCTCGCGTGTCAGCTGGACAAAAAGAACCATACAAAAGGTAAAAGTTAAGCCTCTTTATTTTTAGTCCATACAACCCATGCTCGGAGGTCGATGACAGGTTTCTACAGCTCGTGTTGACGTGTGGCTGTGACAAAGACCTTTTCTGAAATTCCTATTTGTCCACAGGTACTATGGAGCTAAAGGTGATTATGATTTGCATTAATAAATTGTAGAGACATAATGATGAAGACAGCTACCTAGAAAAGGGCCCAAAAGTAGGAAATACAACTGAGCATTAAAAAAAGCACACAAAAGAAAATCAGCTGAAACTGTCTCAGCAAATCCAGTGCAATCCAAGACATGTTCTGCTTTACACTAACAAAAACCAAGGGCAAGGGTTTACAATATGTTTATCTCTAATCGTTTACTCAGTTTTACATCTACAATGTCCCTGAACAATTTAGTTTGCACAGTACCTTAGAGGTATAGAGATCATTATAAAACTGAAATTCCCTTTCCACACATGATTGGATTTGGAAAACCCCTGATAGACTCACAGGCAGAAAGCTTTGTACATTTTATATTGCTACATTTCAACAAAGATTAACAAAGGGATTCTTATTTTTGCATATTTTCTCAGACTTTTGGTTCATAGTGCATTTGCTCTATGCATCTGGATGTCAAATTATATACTGAAAAAGCACCAAAAGGCAAAACACTCTCACATCGAGTGACAAAGCGTTTTATAGAACGTTTTAAAAATAGAAAGTAGCAAGTGTGCAGTGCAGTCTAATTAGACATAAAGTGATTAGATTGAGAAACAGCGAAGTAAACGTCTAACTGTATAATATTACCAGACATATAAAGCTGATGATCCAAGATCAAGACAAACTGCATTGGACAAAATGAGAGATTGATTTTCACTGTTAGCATGGGTCTTTCATCTGCTGTAAACTGAGCTGCAGATTCTGACAGATCACAGCTTATGTTTGGTTAAAATCTAGTTTTAAATTACAAATTAGAGACTGCCTTTTCATGCATATTTACTTATCTGGTTACGTTCAGCTTTAAAAATAGGCTTTGTAGTTCCGTTCAGTCACAATAATCGAAACTCAATTTTGACACATCTAAAAATGTTTATAAAAAAGTCATTCCAAATTTCTGCTCATTTGAAGGAAATTTGTTACGATGTTTTTAAAAATACTTTTGTAAGCATAGTTGCGCATAGGTTATAGCACCAGATTGTAGATTATGCCAAGCCGTGGGTTTGATCTGAAGAGCAAGTCTGTGATGCACTACAAAAGTGTAACCCAGACAGCAGTGAGACACACTGACAAATGTTCAAAGAACGTAAAGTGCCACTCCAGTCCCACTCCAGCTTCCCAGACTTCAGCCATCTAAACCTAACCACAGTAAGCCTCTCGTTAACCTAAGACAACTGATGGGGAGCTTCAAGCATTTCCATGAGGAAAGTGTCGATAGGTGTGTCGCCGATCAGCTTGAAGAAGAACAGATGCTCCAAACACTTCAAGCCGATGGATCGCAGCGCAGGCAATCGAAGAAGCAGCTTGGCAAACCTGGAACAACCACAACAAACAATCACTCCAGCATCCATCGGGCTCAAGAGTCGAGCTTTCATGAACTTGTCCTGCACCGTACCTTCCCTGCTGCTCTGGATACTTCTGTTTGCAGTAGGCCTCCAATGATGCATAGACCTTTTCCCTAAGCAGCTCCACCTCACTAGTGTTGGTAAGTCCTTTAGCATCTGCACACATTAAAATTAAGATTAAGAGATTTTTATTCGTCCCAAAGTTGGGAAATTTCAGTGATATAAGTGATATATAGTTATATGTATACATCTGAACATGTTAGCAGCATATTGTTAGCGTTGGTGCTTTGACAAAAACAGCCTGTCATCCTCACCTGGGTTGAAGAGGACAATCGCCCTGAGGCAGCCCAGCTCCGTCTTGTCCATTTGCATATCTCTCATTTTATTGACGAGCTCAGTGAGAACTCTGGTTTAAAACAAAGTGTGAGTAAAACATTCAACATTAGGTCTGATACTCAATGAGTGGGAGAGGATACCTGTCAAATATGGCACCAACTTCCGCACTCTGCACACTCTCCCTGTGATAATGAAAGCTCAGTTAGAAACCACGTTAACACCAGACTGAGGGCAGTGAAGAGGATGTTACCTGTCAAAAATGGCTCCAACTCCACCGTTCTGCGCACTGTCGCGCTGCAGCTCAGAGGTCAACACCACTCCGTGTTTGAGAGCGATGGACCGGTGGGAAAACGAGGCGATCAGGAGCTCGTTCCACCCTGCAATAAACAGAGCGAAACATGTGATATGTCCGTCTGTACAGCACTAAACCACTGAACCAGGAGCTGTGTATAAATGACAATTGTGTGCATGTGAAATCACAACATAGCAAAATTGTAGCGGAGGGCAGTTGGTAATTTGTCTTATGTCAAACACAGAACTACGAGTACATTTTTCTGTCATTCTCATTTTCATAAAGGTGTCTAGAATTGGTGATAACATGCATGAGGTTGGCCAGTAGAAAGGACTTCCAGACTTAATAGCGGGTTGGTTAATTAAATTACTATCAAATAAAAATTGGGACAATATTTATATAGTTGCTTTGGCCCCTGCTGAAATACTGACATACAATTCTAGAACTGCTTCCTGTGGGTGCAGTTTGAACTTTTACCCTCTGGACGGCGCTATAGGGCTCCTGGGTTCAGGAGAAAAAGGTTGGGAACTACATTTCTCCCAATAGCTGTGAAGCACTTGAACAGCATATTTGCAGGGGGCTTGTTCCCAAAAGTGAGACAATAAAGAGATCTTTGAACCTTGATGACATGAACACAACCTTTTGAATGTTGTTTACCTGCGCGAAGAAGAATGACCTGGTCGTCCAGGGGCAGCTCAGAGAAATGGGGAATTCTTTTGGCCCACTCGACCAGAGCGTACAGCTGTTTATCTGCGGTCTGGCAGATGTTGGTCACAGCATCGTGAGGCTACGGACAAACAAGAAGCTGCAGTATTTGTTTTAACTTTGACTCGGATTTGCACGGAGCAGCGGGAACGCTTACAGAGGAGCCCGCGTCTGAATGAAGCTCCGTCTTGTGTTCCACCGCGGTCTCGGCCTCCAGGATCTTCTCCACGGGCATCTCCTCGTTCACAGACATACTGAACTCAAACTCGCCCTCGCGCTCGCGGTTCCTCTGGCGTTCCTCCTGGACCGCTGCGGTAAGAACAGTTCATCATAAAAAAAAATGAATTAAATAATAGAATAGGGTTTGAACAGTCGGTCGTGTCAAATGCACATGAGTCGTCTGAGTAAGAGCTCTCGTTTACATTGAATAGATGCAGTAATAATGTCGTTATACCTTCCCTCTTCATGCCCATGGCAAGGCACTTCTGGTAGCGGCAGTATTGGCATCGGTTCCGCTGGCGTTTGTCTACCAGGCACTCTTTGTTATCCCTGCAAGTGTAGCTCAGATCTTTGCGCACGGTCCTCTTAAAAAACCCTTTACAGCCTTCGCAACTGTACACGCCATAGTGCTTGCCTGAAAATAAAAGACACATATGTTTATATGTACAATCCAATCCGCTTTATGCACATAGCACAAGACACAAGAAGACAGTTTCCACAGTGCTGCACAGGTAATAAGTAAAATGTATGTTTTTATTATAAAAGGCTAAAGAAAATTAACCATTTTGAAATTAAAAGATAATAGAAAACCAAGGACCATCATGGGGTGTTAAAAGCCATGGATTAAAAGTGAGTCTTAAGACTTGAAACACCCTAACAAGGGTACTTACCCTGCCCTATATGTATAGAACTTTGCACTATATATTTAGAGATATTTCAAAAGATTGATATTGAAACATTTATGGCTAGCTAAGAAACATAGCAGTTTCTGTATTGTATATTTTGTGTTCCCCTTTGTGCTTTTGCCACTGTCCTGCATGTGCGCTGCAACATTGAAATCTCCCCACGGTGGGACAAATAAAGGATATCTTATCTATTTACACCAAGAACTACACAGGGTTGGTGTATAGTTCAGATGAGGCCCAGCCCCTCAGGTTTTAAGTCTCGTCTTAGGTACCATGAGCTGGAGCTGGCCCTCGGACCTCAGCATGCAGGGAGGGGGGTAGCTTTATGATGAGGTCAGTCCACTCAAAACTTTAAAAACAATCAAATCTTAAAATCATCTCTTGCCAGTGCAGCAAAGCTTAAATGGGTGTAATTATTTTGGGCTCCCAGTTAGAACTTGCGCGGATGGATTCATGATCAACTGTCTAGAAAAAAAGTGCACCACAGTATAATCTCGGTTCTTTATCAACTCGTTCTGTTTAATCTCTGACCAGAGGAACGGTCTCCACAGATGACACAGAGGCGTTTCTGGGACATCATAATCCCAGGACTGTGAGGAGGTCCAGGGCGCAGGCCAAAGGGCGGCTTCACATCCTCCGAGCTGCTGATGGAGTGCATCCCTGACGCAGACGCTGAAGAACCGAGCTGTAAAAGCAATACACCCATCCAGAACTTAATTTAAAGCTGGGGTACATACATTTTCAAACCACTCAAACTATGAACTAAGTAATACAATTAATGCATCAAATAGTGACTCACAGGGTTTAAAAGTATAATAATGAGATAAATACTGAATGTTGTGACTCTTAAGACTCTGAATAAGACTCTTTCTGTTGGGACAAAAACAAAATATTTGAATGGGCGGAGGGATAGGTACCTATGAATTTATACCACTAATAGTCACACCAATACTTCTATTGATACTACAAAATACTAGAAGTGTATGCGGATTTTTATTATCCCTTACTCTATTCTCTATTCTTTACCCGTCTTCTCTGACTAATGCACCGAACCAAAGTAATTTCCTAGTCTATGACTTCCTGTTACTTACATGGCATTAAAAATTATTCTGATTCTATCATTATATTAGGTATAGAAATGTCGTTACCTGATAGTTGCTGATAGGTCCAAATCCTAAAGAGGGTGATACCAGGGGTGAGTTCAGAGTGGGACTTATAACTGAGAAAGGAGAGCCCAGGAGGTTGGTGGGGCTATTAGACCCTGAGCTGTGCTGTGAAGACATGGCTGGACACTACCAGAAGCAAGGGTCTGTCTGAAGGTTTTCAACTGGAGAGAAAAGAATCAGAGAATTAGAGACATCAAGGCATCTGATTTTAGAGTGGAAAAAGACAGAAACATATCTGAAAAATATGGTCATCATCTTGTACAGTAGGCTAGTTACATTGATGGAACAAACATGGCGTTTAGGCTACAAACAAGTTACTTGAGGGCTACGGACGAAAGCTTCAGCTTAATCCAATTAGAGTCTCAGACACATATACAACCAGAAAATAACAAGTGCTACAAGGACTAAAGAACGAATATATCCATAGTAGAATTTAACGTGCAAATAGTCACTTAACTTACGCATGAGACTTTTTTTTATTTCATACATGGAGAACACGCTCGTTTACGCTTCTCTTTTAATCAAATCCGAAGCAGCACGGATTATGCAGACACAGTGTTTGGATGGGGTTACACAGACACCAGGCTGGTCTGTGTGCGCGCATGCATACATAAACCACTCATTAAGCAGTAACAGAAGATGCTTTACGTGTAGCCACTAGCTCACTGTGTTAGCATAAGCACCGTTTGGCTTTAAAGCTCTATGAAAACCATTACATTTGACATGATGTAAAACAGGTACACGCCACAATGCATCCATCCTGAAGCATGCGAGCCTGTGTCTGTAAACAATGCACCAGAAACAGCTGTAGTTATGAGTGCAGGGCGATTGTGAGCTGGCTGCATTTGTTCGCGCAGCTAATCTAGGCTAGCTCTGTACTGTAGCTAACGCTGCTAACAAGGTCGATCGGCTAAGGTCGATAGTTTTACGGCGCATCACTGGGAAAAATATTATAATCATCTATAAAAGGATTTTTTCACTCACCAGCAAATCCTCCGACACATGTTACTGTCGGCTGTCGGGGGTTTAACGCACAGTCCGCTTCACTGAGGCTGTTGTTGTTTACAGGCCATGATGGCTCTGAGCCAAAATGTCTGAGCCACGTGACACAACACACAAAAGACATCACACCCACACCTTATTCTACATTATATTATTTGATATTATATGATATTGTAAATATACTATATTATATTGCATCATATTATTAGTATAAATTATACTATACTACAGTAGTCGCAGTAATTATATTATACTTTATTACATAATTATTATAGTATATCTTATAGTGTATGGTTTTCTCTATTGTTGTACTTTATTATATTGTAATCCAACCCCCTTTATTTATTGTGTTGCACATTTTATAAACCAACAATTTCCAATCTTCTGAACCGTGTGCCTAGCTTAGAGCAGCTGTGGGCGGTGTGTGATTGACATTTGGTGGAAGATGGAATTAATGGAATGTTCTACTGCCGATTGTATAATGGTTTAAGAATTCAGTTACACGAAATAATCCAAACTAAATAAACCAAACCTTGCAACGTTTTTGCTGAAGTGGAAACAAAGAACTTTTTTATAAATGTTTTTGTGGTACCACCTGCATGTGAAAGCCAGATCTGAAGCTAAGCAAGGCAGGGTCTGGTTATTACTGTGATGGGAGACCTCTGGGAACACCAGTTGTAATAGTGGCAGTAAAGTGCCAGACTGCCATTGTGTCCTATTGCAAGACACTTCACCCACAGTGCCTAGTATGAGTTATTATGTGTGCATGACTAATAGGTGGAGGTCAGAGGAGATGATGGCACAGACTGATTACCACACTTCTGTCCCTCTACCCCAGGGCAGCTGTGGCTACAGTAGTTGTTTATCACCACCTGTTATGGAGTGAGTGAATGAATGATGAGATGTTAAGCGTTTTTGAGTGTTCAAGCACATTCATTCATTCATTTTCATCCCCTTTGTTAGTCTATTTCTGGGTCGGAGGGGTGGCAATCAGAGCTTATGCTTTGTTATAGGTCCATCCTCTTCTCCACCCCACCCCACGTGTTTGGGGTCACAAGATTTACATTCATCTTTTGTGATGTTTTATGCTGCTATACATAATAAAGTATATTATAACGTACACACTTATTTTTGTGCTTTAATTATACAGTAAAGCACGTTGGTCACTTAATATGTATAAAGGCTTCGATAAATAAAGTTGGATTGATTGAGAGTCATTTATGGACATTTATTTACATTTATGGAAGTAATCATCCCTCATCCTATGGACCATTGGTTCTTACTTTTTTTATTTTTTATTATTATTGCATTTCCTTTGATCAAACTGTTTGATTCTCTGATCTTTTGCTTGTAAAGTCCTCCAGAACGATCGCTGCTGTATTGAATTGAAATGGAATATAGTTAATTTACACATCTCACCATTGCACAGGGCCCATCATCGCTCACAATCCCACCCATTGATGCAGTATACACCAGAATACATACAAAAAAATAGAAAACATGTTTTAGATGACAACTCTTCGAAGTGACCTTTGAATGACGTAAACCTGGGGCCTCTTTAGCAGAAGGTGCTAAACTTTTCCGATGCACACAGTACTTATACAACAGGAAATTGCTGGTATTTATACACAGAAATGCACATGCTGTCATTATGTAGCTATGAAGGGAGAAGAGTGGGCGGATCGTGACTAGAAAAACGGCTTTGCTGATTGCCGTGTCTGTTACCAAGCCCTATAGCATTCTTCCACATTTCACATTCTGACACCGACAAGGAACTGTTGCCTGGGTATTGGGAGCATTATGTTGCAAAACGGCGAGTTCATTTATCTACTTTTCATCTCAGGTATAGAGTGTTCGTTATTATAGACTTTTACTTTACTTTTTTGTGGCTTACTGTACACTTTCTCATAGGATTCTTTCTCTTATCACATGGATCGTCTGAATTCCATCCCATTAACATAACTAAGAGCTATGAAGATGCCAAAGAATATTGCAGAAACAAATACACAGATTTGGCTACAATCCACGACTTGTCTGAGATGAATGATCTGAGGGCTTTGGGTGATGAGAGTGGCCTGGACAGAGCCTTTATCGGACTGGAGATTGCAGAGACCAGAAGGTGGCACTGGGCTGTACCTGCTCACACACTGGAGTACACAAACTGGAGAGAAGGAAGTCCAAAAGACAAAGAGTATGATTTATGTGGAGCCATAGATGAAAGTGGGAAGTGGTTCGAAAGCAATTGTACGACCAAGAGAAGATTTGTGTGTCACAGTAAGTCACTAAACACACAACAAACTCATGACAGTATTTGCTCTAATTTAGCAAAATGTCTCTGGATTTGAGTCTCAATCAGAATTGGAATTATTGTATTGCCAGGAGGAAGTCACAAACTAGGCTTTGGCATTTGGTGCAATAACAAAAAGTAAAAGAAAACAGTATAATTATGCATAAAACACCTTAATGGTGTTTTTGTTTATTTTGCCAATAGCCTGGTCGTACCACACCATAGTACAAATTACATTTCGTACGAAGGTCTGGAGGTGCTCCATTGAGCTCCGTTAACAGGTTGGTAGGGTTAACTACTTTTGCCGATTGAAACGATTGGATCTGAGTTTAGCTTTAGCTATCTCCTTTGTCGCTAACGGAGCCCGTGGGGAGTAGCGCCACAATCTTTGCCAGCAATAACATTTGCAAAACATTCTTCTTGCTCCGGCTTCAATATCTTGATAGACCCAGACCGGAATACTTAACTGTCACATTCTTCACTATTGTCATGCTACAACCTGCCCGTTTTGCGCAAACTCTTGACGTCGCCCACATCTAACTACAACACCCGCCTCCCGCGCTCGCTGATTGGTCGGGTGGAATTCAACCGATGTAATCGCAAACACAGGGCCCAGACCCAGACGTTACAGGCAGTGAAGTGATGATTGACTGGAGTGTACGGATGGCTAAGGCCAGGGGCTACTTTGCCAATGGAAATGCAGTAATTGTCTTATTTTAAAGCTGGGGTAAATTTTGTTTGTTCCAACATATAGAGTCTTGTCCAAGTAAAATGTTGAGAGAAATCAAACCACTGCATGCTATTTTTATAATATAAATTATGTCAAATTTATACAAGGAAAAATTGCATACAAGGAAAAAGCTGATTGGCTGTGAGGGTCTGTCTGAAAAACAGCTAATCAAGACTTGAGAGAGATATACTGTAACTAATTATTTCAAGAAATAATATATTACAGTAACTGATAAGCTCTTTTCTTTCTTTAATTTTACTTCCATTTTACTCCAATTTACACATTGTTATTGTTTGTTTGCTCTTTCCATTAACAAATCTTGTTTTCAGACAAAATAGTCAAAATAAAACCCTACCATATGAAAACTCATTATGTGTCATAACGTGAAAAAGTGACAAAAATGATTCAATTAGAACAAAAATATTTTATGGTTTATGATGGAAGGTTTTCTAATGGGACAAGTGAAGAGACGGGAAAATTCTCCCTCAGAACAACAAACAACAGCTCTTTAAAGACGACTAAACTGCTTGTCTCATTGGTAAATCTTATCTTAAGACACTAACAAAATTCCCAATTCAAGATGAAAAAGGAGGATAAATTATATCTTCATATCTCCCAGTGTATTTACAGGGCACACTCAAATCAAGCTAAACATGACTGACTTCAGTACAAACCCTTGCTCATATATTGACTTATATTAATTCATGTTCTCTCTTGCGCAGGTTCTGCAGGGAGTCCTGTCTTGGTCACGAACACCGAGACCTGGCGAAATGCACAGAGGCACTGCAGGGGCCTCTCCACAGACCTGGTGAGCATCAGGTCTGCAGAGGACAACGCTATAGTGGCAAACATGTCCCAAAACGCCTGGATCGGCCTCTTCTACGACCCCTGGAGATGGTCGGACGGAAGCAACTCCTCTTTCCGTAATTGGGCAAACTCGCAGCCCAACTACCTGGAGGAACAGGACTGTGGCGTGGCAGTTTTCAAAAACGGGAAATGGAACGATCTGAAATGCACGGTCAAAAGACACTTTGTTTGTCAGGGAGGTAAGTTGTGTTTTCCTTCTGCCACATTCGATGTTGAGTATTTTTAAAGGTGCGCTGCACAACTTCTCTGATGGAGGTTGCCATGTTGCCATGGAGATGTTATGTCACATGATATTAAGTACAGCACTTAAAGAAGACATAACAAAGCTTGTCTACTATCATTGATCATTTAGAGCCTCATTCCCACTGAGCGAAACACAGGATCGCCTCTTCTTTATACCTGGCGGCACGGTGGCTGAGTGGATAGCACTCTCGCCTCTCAGCAAGAAGGTCCTGGGTTCGAATCCCGGCCAGGCCCGAGCAGCAGTTTGCATGTTCTCCCTGTGTCTGCGTAGGTTTCCTCCAGGTGCTCCGGTTTCCCCTTCTGGTGTGTACCTCCTGTACTGGCACCCCCACTCCCAAAAATAACAATTGTAAACCGCTTTGAGACTCCGATGTGCAGTGAAAAGGCGGTGTATATAAATAAAGATTACTACTACTACTATACACTGAGCAACACAGGCTGGTGTGTCAGAATAGCTTGGCATTTAACCTTGTAATCTATAGTCTTTCACCGAGGCGGACCAAATACAGCTGTAATTTAGACAATGATCAAACCAAAGTGTGATCATTGTCACACTTTGCTTACTTACTGCTTTGTGAAACTATACACTTGTATGCACAGTAAATAATGACAAGAGTGAAGCTCTTACCAACAGAGTTTAGCCTGTTGCAAGCGCTGTTCTTGCCTTTAGAGAGTTGTCCTTGAAAAAATATGCTTGGAAATGTTTATGTTGCTAAATGTGGATGACAAACTTAACCATAGTCTTTCCTTCCTGCTGCTGTCAGACTGTACAATGAAAACTAAAAAGCCTCTATAGGTTATCTCATCTGTAAATACTCTAATACTTTAAAACCTGATTACTTGCATTGGATTGACTCGCCTCTTCAAAAATGTGACCTGTAGTTTATAGCCAAGTGAAGTCTGTTGATTGTATCCAATGTAGATGTAAAATGATGTAATGACAAACAGTGGAACAGTCCAGGTAAAACTCTAAAAGTATTTAGATGGACCCTGGCAGGAAAAAAGAGTTTCACTGTGTGGCTTTAAGTCTCTGAATGCTCTGTTGCTTTCTTCCAGCCTATAAAGAACCGCCCTCAACAATTGCCACCACAACAGAGGGGGCCACAAAAGTGACGTATTTGAGCACAAAGTACAACATCACATCGAAAAGCACCATTGTGACTTTTCACTTCACTGTCCAGAATAACTCCACACACAATTCAACCATGGTGACCAACCCAACGACCGAGGAGACATCAGCCTCCACCTCGGCCTCCACCTCGGCCTCCACCTCGGCCTCCACCTCAGCCTCCACTTCAGTCTCCACCTCAGCCTCCACCTCAGCCTCCACCTCAGCCTCCACCTCAGCCTCCACCTCAGCCTCCACCTCGGCCTCCACCTCGGCCTCCACCTCAGCCTCCACTTCAGTCTCCACCTCCATGACACTGGCCCCTCACACTTCCACACCAGGTAAGAGGCTCCTCAACACTCGGCCTATTTGACTTGTGTGCCTGAGGGGTTGGTGGGTGCCAGAATACCCCAGGGCGATTGCAGCTACAGTAGAAGTATCCCACTGTTGTGATGCCATGTGAAGTGTTTTTGAGAGTCCAGAAAAGAAAGGGTTTTGTTAGAACAATGTATATCCATGCCTATTGAAATATATCCATATGCAAAATGAATAGAGAATAGGATATAGGATGTTTCTTGTGAATGACTATAAATTATAAATAAACCATTGCCAAGGTAGAATTACTTGCATTTATTTAAAATATGTGAACGTTTGAGTTATATACACAAATACATTGACTTGGGCAATGCCACTAAACATTGACTTTGGTGTTTTAGAATTGTAATTTAGATTTATGGGGTGGAAATGTTCTTCCTTCTCATCCACAAAACACAGTTGAAATACTTGAAACTATTTATATATGTTCACAAATATCTCATACCCATTTATAAGAAGATGGTGTATGTATCTAAGTAAAACAATATTGTCAATATTATACAAAAGAAAAATGAAAAATGTATTTGAATGTTATCAGACTCATCATCAGAATCTAAATGAACTCAACGACACAGTAGTGTACCTCAGTCACAAACATACACCTGTAATGCATTCTACATGGAAATTGTAATGATAAAACAAATTTAAAAATAATTAGAAAGAATAAAAGAGAGATACACAAAGTATTTATTCATAAATCTCAATAAAGTCTTTCATAGAGAATCAATTGAAAGATATTTGACCACACACAGACCATTCTATAATTCTACTGCAATTGATTTCTGTCTTCCATCCTTCATACAGAGAACCTGGTGTTAGTCCAGCAGAACCTGACCTGGGTGGAAGCTGTCTCCTACTGCAGGACTCACCACTTGGACCTGGTCTACATCTCCTCCGAGGACGTCCAGAGGAGAGTCTCCGAGAAGCTGGACCTCGCCACCACGCCTCACGTGTGGATCGGCCTCAAGTACATCTGCCTGTCAAAGACCTGGTTCTGGATCAACCCGAGCGGGAGCTGCTACCAGAACTGGGCCCCTGATCAAGGCTCCGCGGGCAACTACAGCTGCGGGGTGTCAGGGGCCATTCAGTCCACTGGGGGGCAGCAGTGGGTCGGCCTGCCGCATACACACAGGCTCAACTTCATATGTTACGGCTGTACTGTGTAGAAAGAAGATGGAGATACAGAAAAATGAACAATAACATTTCTGTCAATAAAACCTTTTTTAGAAGTATATGGTTGCTTAAATGTTGTAAATATGTTGTAATTTGTATTATTTATTTGTCTGAGCTGTATCCTCCGTGTTTTTATTTATTTGCATGTAATTCTATATTTGAAGTCCCTTTTTTAAAGCTAAAGAAACAATGAACTGTATGAACTTTTTAGGTTTATAAAAATGTTATACCAAGAGAAAGAGTAAAAGTCAAAAGTTCTTTTGACTTTTACTAAGTTAGTATGTCTTTGTGGGTTGAAAGTTAGGTACGCCAGCTTTAATAACACTGGGTAACAAAAAATATTTTTTGAAAATAGTCCAGGGTTTTCCAGCTCAATTAGACTAATTTTGATGCTCTGAGCCCGAAAATGACCTTGGTTTTGCTCAGTCAGGTCAGGATTTTTTGCTACAGAAATATTTTCTGTATAAATATAAAAATATATAAATATAAAAAACAAATTTCTGCGGATCATCAGCTGAGAAACCCTTGACGTTTTTTCCGTTTTCCTCAAGAAATAAAAGTCAACGTATCCAAAGTCATTCAGTTTTTATTTACTCCATCAAATTTGATAAGCAGAATTCATAATAACGTAGACATACGTAATCCGTAACACTATGGCTGTATCTCAAAAAGTTGACCTGATCGAGCAAAATGCATGTGATATTCGGACTCAGAACACCACAATTAGTCTAAATCAGTTGAGAAACCCCTGACCATTTTTTGGCTGCGTTTTAGTGGTGTTGGAAAATATTCATCATAAAAATATAAACTAAAAGTTATTGGGTTTTTCAATAACCATCTATTTACTTCAATAAAACTTCAATTCAAATGAAAGATAAACAATTTATGTGAAAGAATATGAATTAAAATCTAGATACTTTCTCAAATGAGCTCTTGAATCGCAATTTTTTAAAACATTAGACAATGATGGATTGAGACAAAGTAGAAATCTTGACATGAGGAAGTAGTTATTTAGATCCATCTTGCTTTTGTCACATAATCTAAATACGTTTGGCCACAAAAACCCTAGAGCAGCTTTTTCACAAGGGCAGATTACGCTGCTGCAGCCAATCAGCTCTCAGCCCAAACATAGTTTCTTCTTCAAACTCCTTTTTGAGCCAAAACCTTGTATAAAAATAACATATGTTGTACAGATTCTTCTTGTATCTGTTTTTGTTTTGTTTGTCTTCCTTCTGTATAAATGTTGCCCGTGTGTGGGCACAGTTGAATGTCGCAGAATGTTATATTTTTGTATGGTTTGAAATAAAGTTTTCAAATTAAAATTCAAAATTCAATATCATGACATAAATTTAGTTTCTGTCTCTCAGAACAGTTTAGTTTTGTCACTTGTTTCCATAGGCAAGGCAAGGCAAGTTTATTTGTATAGCACAATTCATACACAAGGCAACTCAAAGTGCTGAACAAAACAAGAAAGCATTAAAATCATAAATAATCACAGAACATTAAAAAGAAAGATAAAAATATAAAATCCCTCAGTTGTATGCACAGCTAAACAGAACTGTCTTTAACCCGGTTTTAAACATTGTCAGAGAGGAGGCCTGTCTCACATCTTCAGGAAGACTGTTCCAGATTTTAGCAGCATGAATCTGAAAAGCAGCCTCCCCATGTTTAGTTCTGACTCTGGGCACTAACAGGAGTCCAGTCCCTGTGCTCCTCAGAGTCCGGGCTGGTTCATATGGGACTAACATGTCACTAATATAGTTTGGTGCGAGGCCATGGAGAGACTTGTACACAAGCAGAGCTGTTTTAAAGTCTATTCTCTGAGCCACAGGAAGCCAGTGCAGAGACCTGAGAACTGGACTAATGTGGTCGTACTTCCTTGTTCTAGTCAGGACTCGAGCTGCTGCATTTTGAATGTACTGCAGCTGTTTTACAGCCTGTTTGGACAGACCTGTGAGCAGGCCATTGCAGTAGTCTAACCTACTGGAGACAAATGCATGGATAAGAATCTCCAAGTCTGCTTTAGACACTATGTTTTTGATCTTGGCAATGTTTTTTAGATGGTAAAAAGCTGCTGATGTTACTGATTTGATGTGGCTATTAAAATTTAAGTCTGAGTCCAGTATTACCCCTAGATAGTCCACTGGAGCATGTAGAGATTGAACAGAAGAGGTCCCAGGATCGACCCCTGTGGTACTCCACAGGTCAGGGCCATATGATCTGAGACAGTTTCCAATCTCCACAAAGTACTTCCTGTCCTCAAGGTAAGACCTAAACCAACTTAGGGCGGTGCCAGCGACGCCAACCCAGTCCTCTAGTCTCTGTAAGAGGATCTCATGGTCGACAGTGTCAAAGGCAGCACTCAGATCTAACAAGATTAAGATTGAGATGTACATGCACATTCCATGTGCATGTAGATTTGGAGAGAGGACCCCCCTGACTCAGCCAATCAGCATCAAGAAGTGACTTACAGGGCTCTTTCTTACAAGTATACAAAAGATAAGACTCTTTCTAATGGAACAAACAGCATGTACAGTATCAATGAACAAATTATAAAGGTAAGTACCTCAGCTTTATGGCAAGATGTGTATGAATTGTGCTATACAAATAAACCTAAGTAACTCAAAGCATAGGCATTCAAGTCAAACACAGCAATACATTAAAAAGAGCAAAGATGAAATCCTGCAGTTGCTTGCGCAGCTAAACAAAACTGTTCTAACCTAGATTTTGTCATTGCCAGAGTAGAAGCGTGTCTCACATTTTCAGGAAGACATTTTCAGAGTCTGAGTTGGTTCATATGGCTCTAACATGTTGGTGCGAGGCCATGGAGAGACTTTTACACGAGCAGAGCTGCTTTTAAGTGTATTATCTGAGCCACAGGAAGCCAGTGCAGAGACCTGAGACCTTATGCTTGAACACAGGGGTCTCCAACCTTTTTCTATTGGAGAGCTACTTTTGTAAAACAGAAATGACAGAGAGCTACTCCTTTAGCAGTTGTAATAAAATTGTAGTCTATATAATAATTCTATAAGTCTATAGAATTCCTCAAGAGATGTATTGTTGTAATGGACATGACTCAAAAGTGAATCATTCAGAATCATGTGGGGAATTCTTGAATCCTTTGGGGAGCTCCCTGAAAGGTGGTGGTGAGCTACTGTTAGCTCCTGTTAGCTCCTATGTATAATGACCTGCATATTTTGTACTGTGGACCCCTGTTATATCTGTATTACTGCTAAACATGATTATCTGAAGGACTGATCGTATTTGTTTTACCCACATTGTTACCACAGAATCTATAACTTAAGCATACGTCTTTTAAATCTTAAGTGATGACGTCTCTTTATGCACATTGATACAAATCATATAAAAAGCTTTGTCTCCTTTGGTTTGATCTGAAGAGACTGGGTTTAATCGCCACAGCCTTGTCTTCATTTCTCGACACTCCCGAGCCACATGTTGGCCACCCCTGCTTTAACAGATCTTAAAAACTATGATTTTTACTCTCATACTTTGGCTGGATTCAGTTTATATCCTACTTTTGTGTGTCCGTGTGCATATTTTCACATACGCAGCCAAACTGGGCACTTCTCCTTCCAGCGCTGGCCATCGCATTGTTTGGGTACAGCTGCTCGGCCCATTGTCCGGTCGCCTTTGAATGCTTCTAAAACCGTGCGGTGTGTGCGATGTGGGTGTAGGCGTGCACATTCACAGTCAAGAGTGTGTGAGAACATTGATCCGCTGCACGCCTTTCACTCGGGGTTAATATTTACATGTGACCCCTCCAGCGGGCCCCCCACGGTCCCCCTATGTCCTGGGCTCAGACTGACTCTTGACATGACCTTCACTGGGAAGCCACATGGAGCACAGGCCTTTTCCACGTCTTTACACAAGTGGTGACTTTTTGTGGTGGGACAGAACCACTGGTAAAGAATTATACTTTTATATCAGCCAGGAGGCAAAAAGTAGAAGAACATGTTTAGTAATCTGGGAAGTCTCCACTAAGTTTTAAGCCAAAAATGTCCAGAAACCAAACTTGAAACTAACTTAAGACAGACCCATTATATGCAAAGTGTTTTTTTGTTTTTTTTTTTTCATATTTTTCATCTTTACAATTGGCTCACTGCTTAGAAAAAACGCACATAAAACTAATAAAAAGAAAATATTTTGCTGTGAATGTGTGTGAAAACTAGTGATAGAACCAAACTGTTTTGAGATTGAGGAATTGCATGAATTTCATTACAAAGTCAACTTTTTGTCGTTAAATATTTTTGGTGCCGCAAGTTTGCATTGTGTGATACAAGCGTTGGCACTTTAGTTTTGTGCTTGGTATATTTAACTAAGAAATAAAAAATGCATACTGAGTTATATCCACTTGCCTTTTTTCCATGTATTTCCATTTCTCTCAAATCCAAAATGTTCTTATATGGTTAAGTCCGTTAAGTTTCATGTGTAATGTGCTATCATTACGAGGCACAGCGGGGCAGCAGTCGTCTTTCACAGCAAGAACGTCCTGGGCAAGAAATGTCCACCTTCAGACAGGACATTTCTGTGTGGAGTTTGCATGTTCTCCCTGTGTCTTCCGAGTGCTCTGGTTTCCTCTACACAACCTATACAACAAAAACATTTTCAATAGTTCAGGATGAATCAATTTAATTAGTCCAATAAAATAAACTGTCCCAACCAAATAAATGAAATAACTTGTTATCAAAGGTACATTCTCTTTTTGTTTTTGCTTTTATTAAATTTCAGATTCATTATTTTTGCCTATGCATTAAAAAATATGCAAAAGTGTCCCAGTGTGCACCAGACAAATATATACAATAAAACAAGCTGAAAAGTAACAATTCTCACAATAAAATCAATCACAGCACAGGTCTCCTTCAGAGCGGAGCACCTTGTTTAGAGTTCTCCTTTCTTTGGCAGTGAATTGTACTGTAGCTGAATACAACACACTTGAGTGTAGCACTGCTCGGACATAGAAAACATAGGAATC